ATATATATATATATACATACATATACATATATATATACACATATACATACATATACATATATATATATACACATATATATATATATATATATACACATATACATACATATATATATATATATATACATATACATATACACATATACATATACATATATATATATTCAAGTATTTGTTTTCAGGCAAAAGCATGTGAATACTACTGATATACAATAAAAATAAAATGTTAGTTGACATTATTGCTGTTTTTTTCCCTTTGAATTTATATTTTGTGCCTTTCTTTAGAACTGTAAAATAACATCATAACAATAACCATGGAAAGAAAAATAAAAGCCTAACTTGGAAAAACAGGAATGTCACGGTACCAGAAACTGACGGGGTTTTCCTTTTTTTCATTAAAACATTGATATGAAAAGAAAACAGACAAAATAAAATATAATCATTATCCCACTTGCTCTTTGTCCATGCCATGTTACTTCCTGTCAGAGCAGTCTGCAAAGCCATGGCAAACAGGAAGTACTGTCCCAGAACTGTAGTACTGTCTCAATCCAGGCGGTCCACTGTCCACGGTCCATATGTGTCCTCACACTGCTCCCTGTGTCTGGCAGGGACAGGAGGAACAGGGACTGGGTCTCCGGTCCCCCTTGCCACTATATGCTGGCAAGCTATTGACGAGCAGCCGCTAGCACTCGCTGTGAGCCTAGAAGCCGACACAGCCCATGTCTTCTCTCAGTGACACTTCCCCCTTGACATTGCCACTGCCAGGAGCGCACCCATATCCTTTATCTTCCTTTTTTCAAAAGTCACACTTTCCTTAAAACGGAAAGTTTTAATATTCATTCAAAGAAAAAAAAAAAACGTGCTTTTCAACCTCTTCTTTGAGTCCATTCCCAAAGCTAGCACCATGACATTTTTTTAAGCTACACGTTCATTGTTCATAAAAAAATAGTGCCATTTTTTTTCTTTACTTTGACGTAATCCGTGGCAATGTGCAATTTTGCAGACTCTTTTCTGCTTTTTGTTTGTGATCAAAAGGTGCTGGAACAGGAATCTAATTTTACAAAATAATTCCTTACAGTGTGGAAGTCCCTTTATAGGTAGAGGTGCAAACTAATAAGAAAAAGAACTAACAGAGATTTTCTTTTTGCCTCAGGAAAAATTATGTGGAATGGATTCTTTCATGCAAGCTGCTCTTCACTTTCAGTTGTCTTCAACAAGGACAAAAAAAACATTCCGCTGGGTGTCCTCTTGACACTTGCAAACCACAGATCTCTTTCATCTTCATTTCTCCCTTCCCTTTTCTCTGTTGCTTAAGGATCCACCTGAATTGCATTCAGCCGAATTGTTAACTTTTTGTTCATCGTTTGTGTTTGTGCCTTTTGTGTCAGTGACTGAAAGAGAGAGGGAGCGAAAGAGTTCAGACAGGAAGAATGTGAAGGCATGTTTGTGTGCCTGAGGAGGGTGGGTAGGTTGGGTTAAGGGGGGCATTAGAGAAGGGCCACGGGGTCAAGAAGTAGTGGATGAGAGCAGGGGAGGGATTGGTGGGCTCGGACAGGGCAGGGGAGGTCAAAGAGGGCTGCCACAGAAATGACGTCAGAGACAAAGCTATAATCCCCTAGTCTTTTTTTTCTCCCTCCAAACTCTTGTCTGTGCAAAGGGCTGGCAGCGGGCTCATTTGTGGTTGACATAGTTGTCCGTGGCGAGCAAGACAGGAGGCAGTTTGCTGGGCAGGCTGATGAGGGGCCTGTGGAAGACTGCCTGCTCCTGGGCTTTGATCTTCTCCGCCTGCCTCCGAACCTTTTTGGCCCTCAGGATGGCGGGAACACCCCTCCGGAGCCGCTGGGCCGCCTTCCTCTGCCACACCTCGTATTTGGAATACTTCACGGTCACATGCTGCTTCCTTGGGACTTCCTATTGTGGCGTGCAGGCAAAAAATAGAGGAAAATGGGAAAACAGGGAGTCAGTTCATTAGTTGTGATAACATACAGTGAAAGTGCTCATTACAATGGAGGAAAGCCTTGTTTATTTTTGTAAAAACAATCTGTCATTGTTGGGCTAGTCAAATGGAAATCAAATGTCATTCTTATAGCGCAGAGCGTCATAACAGACTTGCATTGCCTTCAACTTTTTGCCCTTGTTTTGGCTTCCTAGACTGAAAGAAGCAGTCACCAAGCTCCAAGTTCAGCCTCTTTAACATACTGTCAAAGGGAAGGGCGGCCACCCGCCTCATATACATATGAGGAGCACGTCGTTCACCCAAAGACCCGCTGAACTGTCTAACCTCCACAGACCGAATGAAACGCCACATAAACACATTGTCATATCAAAACCTCTATTCTTACACAGCAAACTATTTTAAATAGAGTTAAGTGTTGTGCTGAGCACCACAGATTGAGACAAAGTGGGAGTGGTAGCAGGGAGGCTAGAATTTATGCGTGAGTAGCCAGTGCTCCATATGAATGGCTTGTTTTGGTCCTGCCACTTGAGGAGTGTTTATCCCCCTTCATTCACTCCAGGCCTGTTCAATAGCCAAAGAACAGCTGGCCCTCAGAGCAGGCTGTACCCATCAACTCTCCCTGCCCACACAAATGAGGGACATGTCCTAACCAATTCCCTTGCAGCCTCTTTTTTTTGCAATTCAGAAGAAGGGTACATTTCTTTCCTCTGGATATTTTCAGTATTTATTATTTTTTGTTTGTTTACGTCACTAGCAATCCCATGTTACTGATACTGATACTGATTTTCTAACAAGTCAAAGCAGAAACATTATAAAAATCTTTCCAGCCTCGTCAGAAGGGATTTGAAGAGACCTGGAAAGCAGCCATCGCTCAGTCTTGTGATCGCAGTGAAAAGACCTGAAACTCTTTGATGATTCCCTGCATGTCTGTGACATATTTCAGAGAGGCTCTGCCGGCCAGGTCAGGTGTTTTTGACTAGATCAAAATGCATGCCAGGTTCGGAAAGCTTGCTGTTCCGTGACTAATAATCACACACTGTTTTGTTACAGGACAGATGTCTAACGTCTCATCGACTCTCTCTCTCTCTCTAACACAAACACGCACTTTCTTTCTCAAACACACAAGTCTGTGAGTATGACTGCCTTTTTTCGTAATATGATGTGCTGTGACTGTCTTGATGTTTTCCGCAAAGCTCAGCACTTTGCATGGAGGTTAACTGCTTACCAATGACCATTTTAACAAGATAAACCTGTCTCTGTGTGGGTTTCTGTCTGTCAGGGACATAGGGGTGAGGCTCAGAGGTGAATGGAGAAAAGATAGAGACCAGGATTGGAATTGTTTCCCATACTGGCCTGTTGTTGTTGCTTTCGAAACGTACCTGTTTTAGTGCGGGCATCATGGGTATGACCTGCAGAGAGGTGGCCGACACGTCCCTTTCGGACTTGGCGGGTTTGGCACAGTATTGCTCCAGCAGGTTGAGGTCACAGCTACGGAAACAACACTCCTCTACGATCCCACGGTTCTGGTTGCGCCGGTTGTTACCCCTGCTGGTTGGCCTACCTGAGGAAAGACACAACAAGGGATGAGGAAAGGCCGTGAGGAGGGTGGGGTTCAGGCCTGGCATCAGTAATGAATGTGGGTTGGTTTCGCAAGATTACTTGGACAATCATAGCGGTCCATTAAGCAAAGAGGATAAAAGGTAATCTATGACCAACTGCAACAAATCTTGTTGTTTGTAGGATAATCTGATTAGGGCTATCTGGAAGTCCTTTAATGAGTGAATACACAAGTAGACTGCTGTAGACACCAAAAGAGAGTGATGGAGACAGACAACTAAGCTCTCAGACAGACCTTTGGGTGAGCAAATACATAAAATGGAAACTCTTGTGTGACCTTGTCCTTTGTCAAGTCAGCGTAGATAAAGAGGATGAGAAGGGAGAGAGGAGGGGCAGAGGAGGGGAGAAAATAGGAGAAAGGAGATCAGTGCAGAGAGTGAGAGGGTGTGTGAGGGTCAAAACAGAGGGAAAGAATGGAAATCAAAAGAGGGAGGGAGTGAAGACGTGGGAGAAAAAGGTATGGAAGAATAAGGTGAGGGGGTGGAGGGTTAGCATGTTGCACAGGGGAACACTATCCGCGACCAATAAAGGCCTTGTTTGAAGCCCTGTGCCCAAATCTCATGAGAGGGAAGGCTAGAGTTGATTGCAGGAAGAGGAACACAAGAGAGAAAGAGAGGGTGATCCAGGGGGAGGAGAAGGAGAAGAGGAGGAGGGAGCACATCTATGTTGGCCTAAACTGGATAATGATCTTTCTGATTGGGGAGAAGCTTCTGTGGCAGACAGCACACAAAGAAGCTGCCTGTCTGTCAAAGGTGAAAAGCAGGGGGTGGGACAATATCATCATGGGGGGTGGATGGGGGGGGTTCTCTGCTGGAGACATACCAGAGGAAGGTGAACTCATGTATGTCACAAACACTGTGCAGTCAGAAGCTTATCCATTTGAGGATTAACAACCACCACAATGCATTCGCATAAGGCTTTTCATCTATCCCCACCATCACTACAATGGAAGCAATAATCAGAATTTACGTTAATGATCTGTCCTCTTAACCTTCATCTATCCTCACCATCATTACAGTGGAAGCAATAATCTTAACCTGACATCGAACCC